TTTTTTATTGATTTTCATAAGGAACTATTGACTGGAGTAAATGATGACAAGAATAAATGAAATTGATTTTTTTGAATGTTTGTAGTTTCTTTTTCAATTTGTTTGTTAGTTTGTTAAATTCGTGTTTGTGAACTGGGTAATGTGTTTGTTGCCAATTTTTTCTTGCTGGACGTTTTTTATTAATCAATTCTTTTAAGTTATGGGGTAAATAAGTATATTGGTGTAGTTTTAATGGTATATTTAAATTTGGTGGTATAGAAGTTGAGTCTGTTATCGTTTCTTCGATAGTTGTAATGAGGAATTGTGAAGCGCTGTCAATGTCATCACGAGATTTTCATGTGTATTAAACACAATTTATATTTTTTTGTGAATGAAATAATTATTTAAAGTTTCTAAAATTGTTCGTTTTATTTTATTGTTTTAATTTGTTATTATGGTGATATCATCAAATCTTCGTGACTCTATTAAAATATTTTTAATTGGAAGTGTTTTAAACCAAATTATGGGTAGCAAGTTACCTTCAATAAAACATATGTTATCTTTACTTTTTTTGCACATGCGTATGTGCAGTGCCACAACTACCGGGTGTGCAAGGTGTGCATTGCACATCGGCCCTCAAACCATTATAGGCCCCATACGATGTATTATTATGAATTTGGTTGTAGACATTTTAACTGAAGTAAATTGATAAATATAAAAAACAGATTTATCATATTATCAAATATTTATAAAGAAATAACATACCCAACTACTAACTCGTTGCCAATGACCAAATTCAATACCATTGATTATAAATACTATTATATTACTAACAGAGGTGGTTTTATCTTTTTTACGACTATAGGCACCAACAATTTGCCACCCCTATATAGGCGAAGAAGTTATAGTACCCCTTCCGAAACACCTAATCTAAATATTAAATATACAAACGTATGAACATTCGTTTGAATTTTTAGACTATTTTTTTCGCTTTAATTAATTAGTCTACTTTGAAAAAATGCCATTGGATGTTCCCCAAATTTTAATAAAAAACAGATTTTCATAATAACAGCATAGGATTATTAACATACATTCGAATTAGTATTATAGTGTGGCAGTGGGGATATTTATTTTTCCCCGAAATTCTGACAATAACATATTAACAAAATGCACCCATTATTATACAATTATTTTTCGTAAATATAAAGTAAATAATTTTCCAATTTTTTTGGCATACGTTAAATGTTTTCTAATAAAACATTACAAAATTAGCCGCCCCTAAACTTTGCCGCCCTAGGCAGATGCCTACAGTGCCAAATGGGAAATCCGCCTCTGATTACTAAAGTATTTATAATCCTATGGTAATACTAATTCTTAGAACAGAAATAGCAGAAAATAATGTAGGTCATTTAAAATTAAAGATTCACTGCTTTCCATAATATAAATACTGGTTAATATATTTTATTTATAGTAGGTAAATACTTTTTTAAAAAAAATATTTAGGCCTCAAATTCAGATTTGCATACTAGCTCCATAGTGTGTAGTTGCGATACTGGCTATGTATTGAGAAGTGTTTTTGAAATAAAGATTGCTATTAGATCCGCCCTAGATGTACTAATTTTTAAAGGATTTCAAAAATATTGACCTAATATTAATATTAAAAATGTTCATGTTGGATTGGAAGATACTTTTGTTTTTCAATCACTACAATGTTTAAAGGAACAACTTTTTATAATCTGTAAATATCAATTAAAATAATATCAATCTCGAAATGACAATAAAGAATTAACTATTATATTTCTTGATCAGACTTTTTTCAAAATGGTATATTTTTCAAAATTCCTGTACCCGTATATAACGCTGGATGGATGTCAAAAGTCATATATTTGTTAAAAATTTATTTCGTAAATAATTTAAGTTAACATTTAATTCTTAATGTTATCACATTAATATATCTTTTATTAAAAATATAATTTATAATTTTATAATTTAAGTAATGTTGATAGTATACATTTTCATGATAATATCAATAGTTTACTGTTTATACTAACCCTATATTACAATATTTTAAACCCCTTGGGGTATGTGAAGGGTGTTAACCAAATTCATGACCAAATTCAATTCAAATTGCTTTCTTATAATATTGAACAAAATGAGAGAGTAAAAAATCAAAGTTCGTAATTTCAAAAACAAGGATCACCCTAATATATATTTATTATTATTGTTTATTTCTTCAAACAGATAATGAACCCTAAATATATATATATATATATAGGTTCTTTGTATCGATAGCAAACATGCGGTGTTAAATTTTATTTATATATATATATATATATATAATATTATTATCAATGTTCGTTTATTTACACCGACTGATTAGCATATAATGCTATTAAATTAAATAGTTACATGAGTAAACCATGTATAGACAAAAACGAAACAAGAGCGTGTAGTCCGGGCAGAATAATAATTATGATATTATACTTTGTTGTACTAATATGCTGGTGGCGGGGGCGGCGGGGTTCGCAGAGATTGGTATATACTGTGCTGGTCAAAGCACAGGAGCTTCTGTTCGGCAAGAAACTTTTCTTCGATTGGCAGTTGGGCGAAAACTGGGCACAGGTTAGCATGGATAACTTGGAGAAAGAACTTGAGATGTTGGCGAAAAATGACAACAACGACGATGCCGCAATAGCACCGGAAAAGAAGCCGTATGTATACAAACGACAAATCGTCTGGTTCAACTTGCTTGGGTTTTTGGTTATTCATTTGGGCGCCGTGTACGGTCTCTATTTGTTCCTGACGTCATCAATGGTCCTCACCATGCTGTGGAGTAAGTGCGCCCTATTCAAATTGTATATGAAATTCAATAACCTAATAAGTAATAACAACGAATGATTGCTATTTATTTGTTCATGCGATGAACTTACAACATATCGTTAATGATCGCGGCATGATACCGGTTCGGATTGAATTTATTCTACTGTTTACTTTGTTTTTCGAAAAACGTGGTAAATTTTACTAAATGTTAACTATTTATCCACTCGCAGACCTTATTACTCTACCAATATTTTTTTTTGTGTACTCAATCGTTATCAATCAGAAAACAACGAAAAATATTTAGATTAATAATCACCTGGGCTCGGATTTAAATGCCTTAAAAATATTAATGAAATGCATTTATGACCTAAAAACTATAAAAAATTCCCTAAAAAGTTAAAAAGATGCCCTTTTAAAAAAATGCAAAAATAAAGTTAACATTAAATTTATTATTATAATTATTTTTATTTATTTATTCATTTAACATTTTAAAATTGTGTAGTTACGTTTAAAATTTATGATTTTATAAATATAAAAAAATTAATTTCACAAATTAAATTTTTATTACACTATACAATAAGAGCTTCTTTAATAATTTTTAAATTTAAATGATCCATGGTTGTTCGCCAAAAAGTTTTTATAAACTGAAAATTTCAGCCTTGTTTAATTTAAAACCAGATTGTCTGATATTATATAGTTCAAAATAAAAATTATTTATATTACCTAGTATAATGTTTACAATGTTTATTTCAATAAGTCAACTTTTTTAGTCGTATTACAAGAATAGGTCGAAAATGTCTTGATAAATTAAAAAAATTCATTAAAACCGTAAAAAATGCTTTAAAAAGTAAAAAGCCCGCTAAAAATGCAAAAAATGCCCCCAAAAAATATTTCTTAGTTACACATAGAGTACTTGAAACACATTTGTAGCTTGGAAAGCATCGTGTTACATTGAAATCCGAACCCTAATAATCACAATAAATGTTAAAATATCACTTTACTATAGCACTCGCCCGTACACGTTCTGGAATTTTCTGAGAAGCCAAGAATTCGAAAAAATCTCTGTTGACATATTATGGTGAAGTAACATTTATCTGGTCGATGACGTTGATTATCTCCAAAATCGCTGTAAAAAAGTATCATCTACAAGAAAACTCGAGTGGATTTTTGAAAAAACGTGTTCTATATTTTCCACGACAGAATTAATTGATTTCAGTCAAACTATTTATTATTATTTGTCAGTCATATTGATTATTGCTGATTAAAATCTTGACTAAACACCGGAACAATAGGATTTGTATTTTAATCTTACTATTGAAACTTACTATTGTTTAAGAATTAAAATATAAAATGTATATTATTAAAATCCGTAACATAATAATAATACGCACTATATTATAATATAATAAGATTTTATATTATGTGAATTTGTGGAAATCTTAGCGATCATAGTGGCAGGTGCTAGCGCATTCTCCGTCACAATGGGCGCTCACAGATTGTACACGCACAGATCATTCAAATGTAGCGAACTGATCAAAGCTATCCTGGTGTTCGGGCAAACCGTTGCGGGGCAAGTGAGTGATTTTTCAAATTCTATTCACGTTTATTTTCTAAACGTCAACGTCGTAATCCGCGCTGTTTCTAATGTTTTCACACCCCAGAACTGTTTGTACGTTTGGATCAGAGATCACCGGCAGCATCACAAGTACAGCGACACCGACGCCGACCCGCACAACGCTACGCGTGGTTTCTTTTTCTCGCACATCGGATGGCTGATGGTTCGCAAGCATCGTGACGTCATCGAAAAGGGCAAAACCATCGACATGACCGACGTAGAAATGGATCCATACGTCATGTTTCAAAAAAAAGTGAGTAGCGCATACAACGTATTGTAAATGTATCGTTAATGCTTTCGGTACAAAAACAAACGCGTACAAACGTTTCGTACCATCAGCCGACACCGACAAATATCGAATTTATGTATCGCGTGTGTACACTTAGGTATTACAAGATACTGTTCACGACTTTGGCTATGTTGATGCCGATGCTAGTGCCACACGTCCTGTGGGGAGAAACGTTATGGAACGGATTTTTCGTATGTTTCCTGTTCCGACTGATGACCGCGCTGAATTTGACTTGGCTAGTGAATAGTGCTGCCCATTTGTATGGCAACAAACCCTTCACGAGGTGAGTGCAATATTCGCGTTTCCCGCGCGTTGTACGAAACACAACCTACTGACCTTGGGTCAAACTTTTTTCTTTTTCTTTCATCATACACCTTTGATGATCAGATATTACTTATCGTCAACATAGTGATAATATATATAAATATATATTGTCATGTACTTTCGTTTCAGTGATATACTGCCGGTGGAAAACATGTACGTGTCGTTGACCACACTTGGCGAGGGCTGGCACAACTATCATCACTCTTTCCCGTGGGATTACCGGGCCGCCGAGTTCGGACAGTACTTCAACCTGACCACCATGTTGATTGACTTCTTAGAAGAGATGGGTTGGGTGTGGGACAAAAAATATGCAACACCGGCCATGGTGCGCAGCCGGGCGACGAAGCGTGGGGACGGCTCTCATCACAAGTACGGGCAGTCGAAGGAGGAAAAGGAGGTGAACGCGTTGCAGGACGAAACTTACGATGAGTTGTTCTGGTTGGAGGACCAAAAGTCAATGGCCGTGCGACGGGAACAGGTACAACAGGGTTGACCACTGCAACGCAGAAAACGTTTGGGTATACGTGATGTCGATATATTATGACGTGTTTCTCTCTCCTCATATCTTTCAAAATACCTATACACGAGTAATGTATAATTAGCGATTATTAATAGCGACAGTAGTAATCACTGTAGCCAAGACTGTATCTGGGGGGGGGGGTTCAGGGTGTCTGGACCCTCTCGAAATTTCTTCGATATTTTACGAATGTTTAAAATAATATATTTTTTTTAATACCAACATAAATATTTTCAGTCAAAAATGACTTAAGATCCAATTAACCGTTGACTGTTTTTAGTTTTATAATATAATATATGAAAATATAGTATTAATTTTAATAAAAGAAGATTAAATTTTTTTCTGTCTTATTTTTAACCAAGTATCAAAAGTTAAAATCTAAATTCAATAAAATTACAAATATACATGTTTTGGACCCCTCCCGAAAAAAAATTCTAGATACGGCCTTGACTATAGCAAAAATTTAAGAGAAAAAAATGTAAAATATTATTATCACTATTTGTTTTTTTATTTTATTTCACGCTGCTGTAGTAAATATTTATTCGTCAAATCACACCAATGTAATATAGCTGTATATTGTCTACGCATATATATATTATGCGGTTGTGATTTAAAATATTAAAGCATTAAGTAAATAGTAATCACTCAAATAAATATATTATAGTACATGTTTTCTTTTCATCCTTAGAAGATAAATTATAATTTAAATAAACTATGTTATTGAGTTATAAATAGGTAATAACCAAGTATCAGAATGATACGTTGAAATCAAATTTTTTTAGATTAAACTATTTAAAATTTAATTCTGAATTAATTAGTGAAAGTTAATAATGGATAAATAATAATAATATTATATCGTATATTAGGTGTCTTCTTCTTATTTGCAGAATCAACGCAAAACCTTTTATTTTGTTTGAAACTTTGAATGAATAATAATTAACATATGTTTATAATTTTGTCATTTTATATATTATTATAATGTACTCGTATAATTTATTAAAATATATTATTTATAAATGATAATAAATTATTATGAAATTAATCAAATCTCATATTATTATTGCTATACAACTACCTCGTTAAATTTTTACTTCATTTTGAATTATTTAAATAATATTAAAATAATAAAATAATAATTATAAATTCAATAAAGTATTGCTAATGAACAATATTTCATTCTACTTGTAAGCAATAATTTTCGAAATCCACTAAATAGAAGTTATTAAAAAAACATAAATTACAAAACTTGAACTATTATTGTACTAAATTGAATAATGGTATGTTCAAATTACACGACACAAAGTATTTTTTTTCGTTAAAAAAAAATACAAGCAAACTGTACCTTACTTTCGGGAACGAATACCAATATAAGTGATTTGAATGAATTTTATTTACGTTGATTATATAAGCTAATAAAGCTTTAATGTTTTATTTGCATTAATAATAATATTTTGGTATTTATATTTTAAGAATTCAATGGGCATAAGTAAGATGTAGCACAATATAGAATTAATTCGGAACTGAATACTATAGATATATCTATTCATACAATGATTTGAATATTTTATTTCATTTGATTTGTTATTATAGTTTGCTTAACAATATGGACGAAATATTCGTTGTTTCACAAAGTACGCAAAAGCAAAGTGTACGTTTAATGCCACATTGTAACTGATGGTGATTGTTGTTTTTTCAGATTTCAATATTTGCGATGATCGTTTTGATCGAATATCGGTTTTTTGATAGCAACAACGCGCTCTTGTAGTAATTATAACATTAATATTTCGTTTTATTAAAATGAAGTGTTCGTATACATACAACACGTATTCACAATGTTTTATTATAATGTAATCATGTTGCCGAACGTTATCCAAGATCTCAATTGTAACTTATAAAACAATTATATGCGTGTAAACGAAATTGTAAAATGCAATTCCGTTTCGTGTCGCATAATAATGTAAAATTATGTTTATGTATTGTAACACTTGTTTACAATAACGTCTTATAAATTTTTGTAAATCACTTCCTATTTTTTTCAACAAAAGCACATGCAATACTATTTAGTAGTATATACGCATATGTAGTTAGTTAGTGAGTTTATATTTATTATATGTACACCATAATTTATCAGAATAACAGTACGATATCGTTGCTTCGTTGACGCCCAGAAGAAAATAATAAGTTTTATTCTAAGACTCTTTAAACTTTGTTCTAAAAATGTCAAAAGTATAGATCTGGAGTATAACATGTTGACAACATTGTTTCATATTTAGAAAGAAAATCGTATTTATTGTTTAATAATTAGTTTAATATATAATAAATATAATAATTTATAAATTATTGTTGTTGAAATTCGGAACGGAAAACCATTGTTTTGAAATCAGAAGATTCAAAAAAGTAGATATACAAATGGAAATTTCATAGATGTATAATTCCTTAGAAAATACCACATGAATAAAATTAATGTTAAGTAATATTACCTTTTAAGAGTTATAAAAATATAAAAATATCTACTTGTACTGTTGAACATTTTAATTCATTCCAATCGTTGTTTGTTGTTTACTTATATTATCCTTACCTAGACATGGTAAAATTTTCAAAACTTTTGAGTGACTTTTAAGCTTTTTCTTTTATTTTATATTTTTTTTTCATTTTTATGATATTTCCTAATTATAAATTATAATTGTAATTATATAAATTACCTATTTATATAAATCGTTCTTAAGCTGTTCTTAAAACACTTTGTTTATCACCATAGAAATGATTAAAATTAAATAAAAAGTATTCCTTCGTCCGCTCAGAATCGTTTTTTATCGAATGCAATCATTGCATTCAAATCGAATACAGTAAAATTACACTATCCTGTTCGAGTTTTTACTATCATATTAATATTATTTATTATATCACGCGTTGTTGAATAATTAAAATTCACATAGTATTGTATTTTTGCGTTGTTTTTTCGTCGTGACGTGTCGTCATGAACGTTACGTTATTCTGTTGAGTACATTATTTATTAACATTATTACTAACTAACCTAACCATTATTAATATTAAAAAGAAAATCAGTAATAAAAACTAAGAAATTCATATTACAAAAAAATTCTTTTTTTGTTTTTTTCGAATTAACGCGAATTATTTAAAACATTGTTTTCTACGTATTGTGTTCAATTTTCCACTGTTTTATAATCTTATTCGGTTAAGTTATTGCCTTAGTCCACTAGAAGCTAATTAGAGACTGCAAAGGTGACTCGACGTCCTATACATCAATATGATTTCTTCAAGTCTAACTTAATTTGTCATCCGAGTAATTAGTTTCAAGTCTGTCCAATTGATGAGAATAGACTAAACTGAACAGTTACCCTCATGATAGTTAACTTTTATTTTTTTTTTCCATATATAATAAAATAACTTTCCCTTATTCTTAAAAAAACAGATTTGTACAGTGGCATACTAACGGTGTTGGGAGGGTGGGAGATAACCTCCCTTGGAACATTTTAAGAAGGATTAGTTTCTAATGAGATGTATATTTTTTGGTCAATACAGCTGTACATTATCTTATGAGGGTACCTATGTGTATTTGAGTATTTCCAAGAAAATATTGTAGATAGAGACGAACGGCATAATAATTACGACTATCAACTAATGCCTATTTTCAAAACTGGTTCAAAGTATAATTGAACTAGACACCTACTTAGAACGGCCCTTTAGTAGAAATGGTATTTTCAAAATTGACTCGTACATTTTTTTTTATTTCTATAGCTATCCGAAATCAGTTCTTGAGTACATTTATAGAAACAAGTTGATAGAAATATACCCCAATACTTATGAGATATTAAGAATTATAGTAACTTTAATTGTAACTGCAACAACAGTTGAGAAGAGTTTCACATAACTTAAAATATTAAAAAAAATATTTGTGATCAAATATGTCTTATAATCAATCAGTCAATCTTTTCACTAAAAACAAAATCGCTGAAGAATTAAACATGGATAAACTTATACAGAGCTTTGTTTCACTAAAAGCAAGAAAAGTCAATTTTAAATAAAATTAAGTTTGTTTTATTTTATTTTATCAATATTATTATTATAATAATTTGTTTAATTTTTTATGATTATGACATTGATTTTATAATATACAAATAAAAAAATAAAATAAAAAATATTATAATAAGTAATATTATAAATATTGTATATTATAAAAGCAATGATTATGATAATGGTTTAGTTATTTATAATGTTAAAAGTGAAAAATATTATAAAAAGCAATAAATATTTGATAACATGAATTTCTAAAATCTAAATACATGCACCTAATAAATTTATATTAATTTATATAACTTTACAAATTTGAAGTTAAAATAAAAAAATTAAAATACTTTTCATGTTGATATATCACATAAAAAAATAGAGGGAGTGACCAAGCTAAAATTAGAGCTCAATTTTTTTTTTTCGAGGCAATAAATTTTGATTTTGTCTATTGCACTATTTTTGTTTGAGCCAGCCCTGCCTATATTAATTTGTAATCGTTATCGTATTATCACGGCACTACTTGTGCTATTTAGTATTTCTAATATATCACCCATCAAATTAGATGACGAACTAAACTAGTATGCGTTAATTCATTTTTTTTTTTTTTATTTATAAATAAATATATTAAAAATAATAACGAATAAAATTGAATAATCTATTTAAGTTTACGATCTTATTTGGGTCAAGACCAAATTTTTTGTTTAAAAATGAAATCCCTCTCCCCCAAACTTCAGGTCTAAGTAGGCCACTGGACTTGTATAATATATAAAACAATACAAACAGAGTTACTTGTCTGGAAAATATTGTGGATTAATTAATTAATATTTTAACAATGAATAATTTAAAATTATTTTGAATGGTATTAAATTATCTGAATAAAATTTTTTCAAAAATAGTTCCTATTTATTTTTTCCAGTATTATATCACCTTTGTGTATTTTCTTATGCTCAACTGAGCTGGCTAATTACTGTTTCGAACAAATAAATAATAATAAAATATAAATTAATAATTTAAAATTTTACTCGAATTCAAAACAGACCCGAAATATGGTACAACCAATACAAATTTATTGTTAGATACAACGATTACCGATGCCATTGTAATAAAAATATAATTATTACAGTAAGTCATATAAATAACGATAACGTTAAACGGTTTGCGGGTTTAAAGCATTACAACGGTTACACGTTGTTCGTATGTATATGCATATACATAACACCAGTAATAAATACAAGTAAGTAAAATAATTTATGAATTAAAAGTAACTCTACGTCTGATAACGTTTGGTGAAATAAAAGAAAGACTTGTGGATTTAGAATTTACAAATGATGCAACAGGTAAAGGAATGTTTCATTTACTTGGCAATATTTATGTCAAATATAATTTAGACTGGATAAATAACTTTCTATATAAATATATGACGAATCCACACATATGCAGTAGCTGTAGCATAGTCTTAATTCAAATGTATAATAATACTGGTGCTTTATGGTATCTTTCAAGTATTCTAAATTTAGTCGTAGTTGATACTTGTGACAAATTCGTTAGATTAAGATTTTTGCTTTGCAAATGTGCAAGTACTCATTTATTTTGCGAAATCAAGAAAAGGGATAGAAATCTTTCTAAAGGCACAAAAAGAATGTCATCCAAGTAATAGAATTTTCAGATTATAAAACTTTTCGTCAATGCGTTGAACATCACATGATTGAGCCATTTTGGTAATTAAAAAAAAGGATGGTATTGTATAAAAAATATAGAAATATTGTCAACATTTATGGATCATAAATGTTCATAAACAATTAAAAACTTGTTAGAAATCATGTTTTCAATTAAATTTGCTACACATTTTCTATTAATGAAAAACATTTTTGCAAATACCATGAACACGTGATAATAGTGTATCTCGATGAAAATTAAGCAGCAAGGAAGTATCAAGATCAATTCGAACATATGATAGGGAAGGAAGGGAGAATCAGTGAGTCCAGATTTCGATAAACATTGTTAGTTATTCATTTTCATGTTGATATTTTCATTATCCCAAGCGCACGGTATCAGTCCAACGATTACACATTATAACATGATACCTCTACGCGTAGAGTCATTCCCCTCTTTCGAAAAAATGCACATGAATACGCCACCGATAGTGTTTTATCGTAGTGGAATATAATACATGCACTTTGGAGTTCAGTACTGCCGTTACACCGTTGTTAACCGTGTTACCCCGTAGCAAAGAGTCCGTCGATCGCCTGAAAATATTTAAATATTGTACGATGGATGTTTACCGTTGAATTACGTCTACAATCATTTATTTCCGTTCATCAATACCGTTGTTCTTGCGCACCGAAACTGCAGCAGTGCATTTGAATTCTGTATTTTATTGCCAGCCGTGCGTGCGCGTCCGACATGACCATGGTGAGTGTTCATCGTGCGTTTCGTACCTATATTTATTCATTCGTTCGTTTAAAACATTCTGAAATTGTATGATTTTATGCATAGCTCCTATTGTGGCTCCTCGTCCACCTCGGGATTTCGTATTCAAATGTTTACCACCACGTACGCATGACTCGACTAACGACGAGACCAAACACTGATAAAACGAATAAACGATATTAAAAATTTGGATTCGAAATTCTTCGGTATGGATGGGGAAGAACTCAAGGACATAGGGTTATAATATTTTGAGATAGCATCAAGCGCTACGGACACTGTAGATAATTCGTCTCTTTCACCACGCGTTTAATAAATAATAGTAATTTATTTCGACTACGGATAGCACAAGATCGATCTAGGATTTTAT